CTCAGCCATATGAGAGGATCTGACCCAAAATATTTTAATGAAGGATTTTAATAAAAATAAAACTAGAGCCTGGAAATTCAAAGTAAATAGTTCCTCCAGAGTCCTCTTCCCTGGGCCCTTGAGCGATGGCCAACTACAGGGTGCTAAGCGATTAGTGTGGTGTATTGAAAACTATAAAAATCACCAGCTGTCACTTTAAATCTTGAGGGATCTCCTTGTCCTGCTTGCAGGCTAGGGGTCTCTGAAGGGAGCATCCAGTGTCGGTCCTATGCTTTCAGCTTTCACAGAGAAAGGTGGATTGAGTTCTACCTTGCTGCCTTAGGGAGCAGCCTGCTTTGTCTCTCTCTAAATTTAGCTGTGGTGTGTTAGAGTTCTGGATTATCAGAAATAAAGCAGTGTTACACTGCAACCTTTCAGGAAGAGTATTTATGTTTTGTTTCTAACTCTGTGTGTGTGCTGTGAACATAACAATCATGTAATACTGAGGCTAATTAGCAGTGCAGCACTTGGAGATCTCAAGTGAATACTGCTTGACAAATGCAACATCCTTATTATTATAGTGATGATATATTCATTCTGTATTGACCAAGTTATTTGGTACATAAAATCTGAACTTTTTTCTAAAAATTAAGTTGCTCTTAGGCAAGATTTCATTTCTGCATATACTGAAGATGATTAGTTAATGGGAAGTGTGTGTTGGGGGAAAGAAGGGGGTAGGGTGAAGCTCTACTATACTATACCTATCTTTCACTGGCATAAGTTCAAGCAGTCTCTAGGCTTCTCTAATTGATCCCAAAGCTGTGGTCAGTGCAGACTAGCTCTTAGAATCAGAGAGTTGTGACCAGTTTCCTGACACCCCCAATTCTCCTGTGCTCAGAAGGGCTTAGTTCACATGACACATGACAGTGTCTGGCCCAAAATATATTAATGAAGGATTTTAATAAAAACAAAATGTAAGCCTAGAAATTCAAAGTAAAAACTCACCCAGATTCCTGCTCCCACAACATACATTCACAGGGCAAGCGGGGTGACCCTAGCTGTAAAGCTCGGCGTTTACTGCCTTTTGTGCAATTGAATACAAGTTACAGCCTGAGCTTTAGTTCTGATTTGGGCAAAACTCTCATTTAAGACAATGGGAGTTTTGCCAGAGTCCAAATGTAGTCCTGGACAAGGCCCATTTAGCAGCTCTCACATTGATGTGGTATTTTCAGATGTCAAATAAGTAGCGATGCTCAGGCCATATCCAGGGCACACTCATGCTTGTCAGGAAACATGACTCCAGGAGCCAGATTTTCATAAACACTGAGCACCCAGCAGCTCTCACTGAGAACAAAGGAGAATTCCCTCCCCGACCCCACTGAGAACGGTGCTGGTCACAGCACACACACAGAAGTTAGATACAAACATAAATGCTCTGGCTGAAAGGTTGCAGCGTAACACAGCTTTATTCCTTAGAATCCAGAAACTTAACACACAAAAACCCACGGGGGGGAGGGGGAGGGCTGCTCCCTAAGGCAATGGGCACAACTCACCCATCTTCTTTACATAGGCTTGTCTATAGGAACCGTTAGTGCGCAGCAGGTTGGAGAGTAAATCCACCTTGCACTAGCTGGCTGTGTGCACCCTGTGGCCGTCCACTGAAAGTTCCCCAGTGCACGTTGATCTGTTAAAGTTCGCCGGTCACGTAGATCTGTTCCCATTTCAAAGCGGGGTAAATGGAAGCACACTACGGAATTGTTAGTGCATGAAGCAGGGGCCACGCAGATGGTTAGTGTGCGCCAGACTAGTGAGAGGCAGATTTACACCCCAGTTGGCCACAAACTAACCTGTTCCTGCAGATAAGCCCTGATTTTCTGCTAGCAGTCTTTGCTACAGAGCCCTCTGGCCTGCAAACAGGACCTGGAAACACCTCTCTATTAAAGTGATAGCTTGCAATTCCAACACAGTTCTCACTACACAACCACAACAAAGAAGCGTTCTCTCCCCCAGCCCCACTGAGAAGCATGATGGTTTCTGGGTGCTGAGCTATTATGAAAATCTGGCCAATGGCATCCCAGCCTGCAAGGTGAACACCCTCAGCTCCTGTGTGACATCAAACACAAATGGTGGCAAGAGAAGGCCTCTGAGATCCAGGGTTTCATAGACTAGGATGACACGAGATGCTTCTTTCAAACAACAAAAGCTATATGTGGGGCAAGTTCCAAAGGCCCAACCCCCTTACATTCCCAGATTGGCTCCACCCTCCTCAAGGACAATTCAAGGACAATTTGGCCTAATGTTTTTGTTGGTTAGAGGAGTCATTTTGCCAGCTACAAAATGCATTTCTTTTCTGTTGAATTGCTAGAATTTCCTTGTTTTCATCAAACCAATCTTGGTGCCGATGAGTGGAATATCTTATGCTTTCAGCACATGCCCCGTGAATGGTATTTTTAAGTTAAGGCTACACCTGTCCCCTTCTTGTCTCTCTGGCAGCACCTTCAGGGGTCAGACCTCCTGCTTTTACTGCAATTCTCCCATGCATAGACCAGGCCCTGTGAATCAATCACTATAAGCCTGTGGGTGCCAGACACCAGCCAAATTAATTGTTTGGCCCCAGATGTGCACAAAAAAGTTGTAATAATCACAATGTGTTAATATCACCAGACTTATCACCATGTCTCTCATTAACCCCTTGCTCTACCGACTTCAAATTTAGCCCACTAATGCCAGGGCCGGTCCACAACATTTTGGCACCTGAGGCGGGGCGCTCAAATGACGCCCCCATACCCCCTCTCTTGGGCCAAAACTTTGAAAGGTCTCAATTCTGCCTTCTTCCTGTTCTACTCCGCTCATGGTACTGCTCTGCTACCTACCCCAATAAAGGAGAACTAACAACTTAAAATGCCTTTTTCAAAAATGTTAAGTAATACTTAACTTTCAAGTATCAGAGGGGTAGCCATGTTAGTCTGGATCTGTAAAAAGCGACAAAGAGTCCTGTGGCACCTTATAGACTAACAGACGTATTGGAGCAGAAGCTTTCGAGGGTGAATACTCACTTCGTCAGATGCATGTAGTGGAAATTTTCAGAGGCAGGTATAAATATGCAGGCAACTTAACTTTCAAATGCCTGAACAGCAAATGTAGCTTTTCTTGTCTGCATAATAAACACTGGCATTTTTATCAGTTTGAATAATCAAAGTGGTGCTGGGCGGCAGTGCCGTAACAAGGGCGAGGCGAGTGAGGCACTTGCCTCAGGTGTCCAAAGCTGAGGGGCCCAGAAATGCCCTGGAGCGTCCCTGATGGAATGAAAGCTGCTGCACGTCGGGGGGGGGGGGGGGGGGGCACCCCCGTGCTTCGCAGCCCTCCCCTCCCCTCCCCCGGCACCCACCTGGAGGAGACACCGAGGGGGCTTCCGGTGGAAGACAGACAGGATCATCTGCAGTCAGTGGACCTCACTCACCTGAGCAGCTGCTGGGGCTTCGGTGAGTGTTTGACCCTGTGATCCATTCCTCTCCCCCTCCCCCCCGCCATTCCTGCAAACTGGGCAAGGGGCAGACCCATCCCCCACCCCCAGTGCGGCTATGGCGAGGGGCAGCAGGGGAGGAAGGAAGCCACATGTAATGGCAGTCCCCTCCCCCCCAGCACCCACCACCCCCTCCCAGAGCCCACACCCCCTCTCCGGCCCCCAAACTCTGTTCCAGAGCCTGCACCCAGCCCTCCGCACTCCCTCCCAGAGCCTGCACCCCTCCACCCATCCTGCACCCCCACCCTGTGCCCCAGCCCGGAGCCTGCACCCCAGAGCCCAACCTCTCAACTGTCCTACACCCCAATCCCCTGCCCCAACCCAGGGCCTGCACCCCAGACCTTCTCCACCCACCCAAACTCCCTCGCAGAGCCTTAGGCAGCTGGGAGGCAGGGGGGCCTCTTAGTGTTCTGTGCACCACCAAAATTTCTACAAACCTGCCGCCCCTGATACTTAGAAGGGGGTGAGGAGGCGAGCGGCGAGTCGGTGGATGGAGGGGGGCATCCATTTTCAGTATTTTAATTTTTGGTACTGCATTGATTGACTGCTGTGTGCATTAATATAGTGACACCCTGGGTCTTTGAATGAGGCTTTATACTTGGGGGTGGGGGTGAGGAGGCGAGCGGCGAGTTGGTGGCTGGAAGGGGGCAAATCTCCCAGATTCAAAATCTGGGGCTGTGTCTGTTGGTCCTTTTTGCTGCTTTTCTCTGGGCTGGGGGTTGTCCCAATGCTGCAAAGAGGGTGTTCCCAAAGGAAGTTCCCAAAGGCGAGCAGGTGGGCAAGTGGTGAGTGGGCAAAGAGGCGAGCAGTGAGCCAGCAGGGGTTCTAGGGGTGAGCATGGGGGTTTCTGGCAGGGGAGGGAGAAGGTGAAAGGAGGTGAGTGGTGGGTGGGGGACTGACTAGGAGGGACGCAGCAAGCCAGCGGGGAGCTAGGGGGTGAAGAGGGGTGTGATGGTGGGGGTGAGCGAGGAGGAGGTAGGTCCTATTTTACTGCTGTGATCTGGTCACCCTATGTGTGCCGTTTCTTCCCCCACCCCACAAATCTTCCTTTTCGGCCCACAGCTGTTTCGGCGGGGCAGCGCTGGGGAAGGAGGGTTTGTTTCTGCGGGACGGGCGGCGTGGGGGGTTGTTTCCGCGGGGCTGGGCGGCATGTGTGTTGGGGGGGGGCTAGGCAGCACTGTGGGGGGCACAATTTTATATTCTTGCCTCAGGCGCAAAAATCGCTAGTTACGGCTCTGCTGGTGGTACTGCCTAAGCCTAAAGATTTAGGGGGGAATCCCTGGGGGGAGCTACCAGGGGAACCCCATGTGCCAGGTGCTCTGGGAAGAGTGCTGTGAGTTCTGCCTCTGCGCATGCAGGACACCGCCCCCCCCAATCTGCGCATGCCCAAAGCCGGAGGAAAAGGTGGGGCGAGGTCACATCTTTCACTGGACCAGAGTCTGTGGGCAGGAGAGACAAGCTCTCAAGCTGCACAAAACACTTCTCCGAGCCTGGGAAAGCCTCCAACGGCCCCGCGCGAGCTCGCAGCCCTGCTCGTCATCCCCACCCAACGTCACTTCCGCTCCCAGGAGAGTCAGGAACTACATCTCCCAGCCTGCGCTGGGGGGTGCTTCCGCCTTCGCCAGCCCAGGTAAGGGGGGGCCCTGGGGTTAGCCTCCCCCCACATCTCATCCCCATCAGCGATCCCGCCCGGCGCCCCCCTGGGCGCCTTCCGGTTTCTAAGGCGAAATCTCGTGTCCTGGGGGCGGAGCCTTGTCCCTGGCTGCCTGCGCTGCGGGGCCGTGGGCAGGGGCTGCTTGCTGGGCGGGGGGAGCCTCAGACCCGGGGTACGACCGCCTTTCCCCTTCCCCCCGGGTCTGACAAGCCGCCCTGCGTACTGCCCACCCCTCCCCGTGTACGGCCGACTACCCCCGTGACTTGCCCCTCCCTGTCTAGGGTGACCAGATGTCCTGATTAGGGACAGTCCTGATATTTGGGGCTTTTTCTTATGTAGGCACCTATTACCCCTCCCACACCCTGTCCCGATTTTTCACACTTGCTATCTGGTCATCTTACCTGGATCTGCCCCGGGTCCGACTGCCCCCCTGCCCACTTGTGGAACTGTCCCGAGCCTCTTCCCCACCCCCATCCTGCCTCCCCCGGCACCAGATTTTTCTGTTACAGTCGAGAACATCAGTGTGTGGGGGGATAGCTCAGTGGTTTTAGCATTGGCCTGTTAAACCCAGGGTTGTGAATTCAATCCTTGAGGGGACCATTTAGGAATATGGGGCAAATATCTATTGGATGATTTAATTGGTCCTGCCTTAAGTAGGGGGTTGGACTAAATGATTTCCTAAGGTCCCATCCAACCCTGATATTTTATGAATTGTGCTGTGAAATTATTTCCTGTTCTGACATGTCCCCCATTGCCCTTTTTGCCCTAACAGGCTGCAGCGCAACATCCACATTTCCCACCAGATCTTTCCATCCTTCCAGGGATCGGGGAAGGGAAATGGCTGCAGTGGAGCCAGTTGAGGTAGGGATTATCAGGGAGTTGCTGGTAGGTTCCCAATGGAGGGAGAAGGGCAGTAAATACAGATGAGGTTGGCATTTCTGGTTGGGTTGGTCTAAGAGGTGCCGGCTGGGGGAGGGGTTAGGAAATACTCAGGGTGCAGAAATGGAGGGGGGCAGAGTGATGACAAACCTGTTGGGATTTGTTTACTGTGAGGTCTAGATCCCAGCAACAGACCCATGGGGTTTGTAGGTGGGAATTTCCTAATTTGACAAACAAGCAAACATCCTGGACTGGGCTGAGAAAACTTACTAGACTCCAATACTGGAGCCTGAATCTATTAGCCAGAGGCTCCTGTGAGATATAAAGGGGAACCCACCAGTGATGTCCATGGAAGATACCCCATGCTGCCTGCTGGCAATGGGGAGAGTATTCTGATTCTCACCAAAGAGTTGTCCCTGATTCCTGCTGGGGGCTCCATCTCCTGTGTCAGCCTCTGGCTAGTAGGTGAGTGATGAATGTGAAGACCCCTGCCCCCTCTCTCTTTCTCCCCTCACCCCGATGCCTCCTAGCTGCTCTGATGGGATGGGGGTCAGACTATGCCGACAGCCTGCTTCCCAGAGCTTCCATGTGATTGGCGCTCCTCCCCTGTGAACGATGGGGTTGTCAGGAGGCTCTTGCTCTTTCAGGGGCTGGTGACCTTTGAGGAGGTGGCTGTGTATTTCACCAAGAAAGAGTGGGGTCTGCTGGACCCGGGTCAGAGAACCCTCTACAGAGACGTCATGCTGGAGAACTATGAGACTGTGAGCTCGCTGGGTAAGGATTCCTGTTCCCCCAGGTATTAGAAGGGGAAATGAAGAGTTAAGGTTCACAACATCTCACAATGCAACTCAACTGTGCCCTGTTTCAGTATCACCCCAACTGGCCAATGACAAACATTACCCTCACGCTACAGAATACTTTGGGAACAGAGCACAAGTGCAGTATAGCACAAAGTCTAACACCTCTTTGCTAAGGCAAAACTTAGGGTTAGGTCCAATGCAGGGAACAGAAGCTACTTACCCCTGGCCTGCACTCAAATACTGAGCCTGCTGTACACAGTCCATCTCAGACTTTTACAATGTTACCACCTTATTTGCCTTGCCTTCCAAGTCATTGCCTTCACTTACCCCTCACTGAGTCCTGGAGACCACTAGCATGTATGGCACCAGCCTGCTGACATTTCTCATGGCAAGAACACATCCTTGTGCACCTTTATTGGCACAACCTACAACACTCAGCACTGAAATGAGGAACATCTGTTCCTTCAGCTTTCACATGCACCTCTCTTCATGTCACAGTCCCAGCTCTGCCCTGCTGCTCCAACAATTCCCTCCACCATTCATTTAAAGCTGCAGCTGACACAGTGCATGTAGCTGGAGTGCATGCAGATAAATGCTGGTATTCAAATCTGTACAACGCAAACAATGGCATGTTCTCTTAGTCCTTCCTCCTATTGATTATTCATCAATACATTTGAAGGCCAGGAGATACTGTTAGGTCATCCGTCTGATCTTCTGTATAATATAGGCCATATGGTTTGGCCTATTTATCATTGTAGTGAGTGGAATACCTTGTATTTTGATGAAAATATCTTAGAAACATAGAAGATTAGGGTTGGAAGAGACCTCAGGAGGTCATCTAGTCCAATCCCCTGCTCAAAGCAGGACCAACACCAACTAAATCATCCCAGCCAAGGCTTTATCAAGCCGGGCCTTAAAAACCTCTAAGGATGCAGATTCCACCACCTCCCTAGGTAACCCATTCCAGTGCTTCAGGACCCTCCTAGTGAAATAGTGTTTCCTAATATCCAGCCTAGACCTCCCTGACTGCAACTTGAGACCATTGCTTCTTGTTCTGTCATCTACCACCACTGAGAACAGCATAGCTCCATCCTCTATGGAACCCCCCTTCAGATAGTTGAAGGCTGCTATCAAATCCCCCCTCACTCTTCTTTTCTGCAGACTAAATAACCACAGTTCCCTCAGCCTCTCCTCATAAGTCATGTGCCCCAGCCCCCTAATCATTTTCATTGCCTTCCGCTGGACTCTCTCCAATTTGTCCACATCCCTTCTGTGGGGGGGGACCAAAACTAGATGCAATACTCCAGGTGTGGCCTCACCGGTGCCAGATGGAGGGGAATAATCACTTCCCTCGATCTGCTGGCAGTGCTCCTACTAATACAGCTCAATATGCCGTTGGCCTTCTTGGCAACGAGGGCACACTGCTAACTTGTATCCAGCTTCTCATCCACTGTAATCCCTAGGTCCTTTTCTGCAGAACTGCTGCTTAGCCAGTTGGTCCCCAGCCTATAGCGGTGCATGGGATTCTTTCTTCCTAAGTGCAGGACTCTGCACTTCTCCTTGTTGAACCTCATCAGATTTCTTTTGGCCCATTATCCAGTTCATTAATAAAGATGTTGAACAAAACCAACCCCAGGAACAACCCCTGGGGCACTCTGGTTGATACCGGGTGCCAACTAGACATCGAGCCATTGATAACTACCCATTGAGCCCGACAATCTAGCCAGCTTTCTATCCGCCGTATAGTCCATTCATCCAATCCATACTTTTTTAAACTTGCTGGCAAGAATACTGTGGGAGACCGTATCAAAAGCTTTGCTAAAGTCAAGATATATCACATCCACTGCTTTCCCCAAATCCACAGAGCCAGTTATCTTATCATAGAAGGCAATCAGGTTGGTCAGGCATGACTTGCCCTTGGTGAATCCATGTTGACTGTTCCTGATCACCTTCCTCTCCTCCAAGTGCTTCAAAATGGATTCCTTGAGCAATTGCTCCATGATTTTGCTGGGGACTGAAGTTAGGCTGACCAGTCTGTAGTTCCTTGGGTTCTCTTTCTTCCCTTTTTAAAATATGGGCACTATATTTGCCTTTTTCCCAAACATCCCGGACCTCCTCCGATCACCACAAATTTTCAAAGATAATGGCCAATGGCTCTGCAATCACATCAGCCACCCTTGGATGCATTATACCCAAGTACTTGTGCACATCCAGCTTTTCTAAATAGTCCTTAACCAGCTCTTTCACTACTGAGGGCTGCTCACCTACTCCCCATACTGTGTTGCCCAGTGCAGCAGTCTGGGAGCTGACCTTGTCTGTGAAGACCGAGGCAAAAAAATCATTGAGTACTTCAGTTTTGTTCACATCATCTGTCACTATGGTGCCTTCCTCATTCAGTAAGGGTCCCACACTTTCCCTGACCACCTTCTTGTTGCTAACATACCTGTAGAAATCCTTCTTGTTATCCTTCACATAGCTGCAACTCCAGTTGTGCCTTGTCCTTCCTGATTACAAGCCCTGCATATTCTAGCAATATTTTTATACTCCTCTCTAGTCATCTGTCCAAATTTCCACTTCTTGCAAGCTTCCTTTTTGAGTTTAAGCTCACCGAAGATTTCACTGTTAAGCCAAGCTGGTCGCCTTCCATATTTGCTATTCTTTCTGCACTTCAGGATGGTTTGTTCCTGTGCCCTCAATAAAGCTTCTTTAAAATACAGCCAGCTCTCCTGGACTCCTTGCCCCCTCATATTAGCTTCCCAGGGGATTCTGCCCATTAGTTCCCTAAGCTCTGATCAATCATACCACTCTCTTACATACAATGCAACTCCTCCACCTTTCTTCCCATACCTTTCCTTCCTGAACAGTTTACATCCATGACAGTGCTCCAGTCATGTGAATTGCCCCACCAAGTTTTTGTTATTCCAGTCACATCATAGTTCCTTGATTGTGCCAGGACTTTCAATTCTTCCTGCTTGTTTCCCAGGCTTCTTGCATTTGTGTACGTGCACCTAAGATAACTAGCTGATTGCCCTCCTTTCTCAGTATGAATCAGGAGGCTTCCCGTCTTGTACCCTGCTCCTTGTGTTTCCTCCCGGTATCCCACTCCCCCACTCACCTCTGGGCTTAGGTCACCATCCCCTGATGAACTTAGTTTAAAGCCCTCCTCACTAGGTTAGCAAGCCTGCCTGTGAAGATGCTCTTCCCTCTCTTCATTAGGTGGATCCCATCTCCTCCTAGCAATCCTTCTTCCCGGAACAGCATCCCATGATCGAAGAATCCAAAGCCCTCGCTCCAACATCACCTGCATAACCACGCATTCACCTCCATAATTCGACGGTCCCTACCTGGGCCTTTTCCTTCAACAGGGAGGATGGATGAGAACATGACTAGCACCTCAAACTCCTTTATCCTTCTTCCCAGAGCCACGTACTCTGCAGTTCAAGGTCATTATTGGGAGTATCATTGGTGCTCATGTGGAGAAGTAGGAAGGGCAGAAAGGCATTCAGTCCTGCTTTGAAGAGTTCAAGAGAGAGAAAATTTGCCACTTCCCTGGGTAGATGGTTAACCTCTGCACCATCCTTACTGACCTAGTTCCAGTGACATTTGCCAGCTCCAGAGTTAGGGGGTAGAGGCTGAGTTAAGGTTGCATTGCAGGGGTGGTGTGTTAGTTTAGTTCTTCATTTCCTGGTTTTCAGAGGTTTTTACTTTCACCACTATACGCGTGCTGGAAGGGCATGAGGCAGCACACAGCAACCTTAACTCTGCTTTAATGTAGTTTATGGGCATTTTATTTCCTTGATCGCTCTTTAATGGACTTTTTTGCCACTGTGACTGTGTCTGCATTAGAGCTTTTGCCAGCAAGCTATGTCAGGTAGGGATGTGGGGTTTTTTGTTTTTTTTTCACACCAATAGCTGACAGAGCAGTGCTCTCAAAACTCTGAATTAGCTACCAGTCCAATATCTACATGTAAATTTGAGAGCACTTGAAAATAGTGTTCTTACGACAAATGTTGGTATCAAGGCAAGACTTTGAAGAGAAACTCCTGCAGAATGTAAGAAAAATCCACAACACACATTGTCAGACCGTTGTCAGTGATAGGGCTCAGACTCAAATGCATGATATAGCTCAGGTTTAATGGCCATAGCATGTCCTCTTGAGCCAATTAATTACTGAGATAACAGATGGCTGGAAGCTCTCTAGCTTTAAAAGACCTTCATCTTGCTGCACATGTGAATTTCAATATCTTTGACTCATCATTTGATGATGGTGTAGGGAGGAGAATTTGAGCTTTATTAGAAACTGGGGAACCTCTTGGGGAAGGAGGAGCCTATACAGGGAGGACGGGCTCCACCTAAACCAAAATGGAACCAGACTTCTGGCATGTAAAGTTAAAAAGTTCATAAAGAAGATATTAAACCGGGGTGGGCAAACTTTTTGGCCCGAGGGCCACATCGGGGTTGTGAAACGGTATGGAGGGCCTGGTAGGGAAGGCTGTGCCTTCCCAAACCTCCTGGTCCCCGTCCCCTCCCCCTCCCACTTCCTGCCCCCCTCAGAATCCCCAACCCATCCAACCCCCCCAGCTCCTTGTCCCTTGACCGTCCCCTCCTGGGACTCCCGCTCCTAACTGCCCCCTGGGACCTCACCCCCATCTAACACCCCTGCTCCCTTTCCCCTGACTGCCCTGACCCATATCCACACCCCTGCCCCTAACTGCCCCCCCGGGACCCCACCCCCCGCTCTCCCTCCCCCTGAACCTCCACCCCATCCAACTGCTCCCTGTCCCCTGACTGCCCCCTGTGACCTCCTGCCCCTTATCCAACCCCCCTACCCCAGCTCCCTGCTTGCCAGATCCAGCCACGCCTCTGCAACGCTCCCCGGCAGGAGCAGTGGGCCAGAGCGCTGACAGCGCAGCGCAGCAAGGTGAAGCGGCGGTGGCAGCAAGGGAGGGTCCGGGGGTAGCCTCCCCTTGCCGG